TACCAGTAGTTGCATTGGGAGTATTACGGTGAGTAATTAAAACATTTGCTAAATTTAACTGGTCCGGAGTCCAACATCTCCTTCCAGCATAGAAACGCGTCTTTATCGTCCGTATATATCGTTCAGCCAAACCATTCGATTTGGGGCTATAAGGGGCCGATCTAAAATGTTTTATATTGTTTTTAAAAAAAAACGTTTTGAATTCAGATCCAGTAAACTGAGTACCGTTATCTGAGACAATGTAGCGAGGTAACCCAAATCTAGCGAAATAATTACGCAGATTATTTATTACACTCGCCGAATTAATATGTGTTAAAATTGCAACTTCAACCCATTTGGTAAAAGCGTCTACGCAAATTAACCAATATTTTCCAGATACGGGGCCTGTCAAATCAATGTGTAATCGTTCCCAAGGTCGGGTAGGAATGTTCCAATTGTATAATGGCACTTCTTTAGCTCCCGGCCTTCCTTCTTGACAACTCTTACAACATTTAACAAAGTCTTCAACATCAGTATCGAGATTTGTCCAAAATAAGTAATATCTACACAATGATTTCATCCCCACTATCCCAGGATGTCCTCGATGAATCACATATAAAACCTCCTTTTTTAAAATATCTGGAATAATAATTCTATCATTATAAAATAATAATCCTTCTTCGAACGAAATATTATCTTTAATCGAAATATATTTTTTTACAATCTCCGAATAATTATTTATATTATCAATATACCAATGATTTTTTATTAATTTAATAATCTCTTTTAGGTTTATATCATTGCTCGTTTCACTTACGACTTTACTGCGTGTGAAAGATAAATCCTCTATTAAATTAATTTTTAATCCTCTGATTTCTTCTTCGAATTTTTTTGTAACTTCATTGGTTTTTGCTTTCTCTACCCCCAAACGGGACAGAGCATCGGCACATTTATTTTGATTACCTGGTCTATATATTATCTCATAATCATAATTTAATAGTTTCGTCGCCCACCGTATTAAACGGTTATTTGTTATTTTGTTAAGATCTCTTTTATCACCTAAAATATATTGTAATCAGTGGCGTAGCTAGGAATTTTCCTTAGAGGGGGTCCATACATATAAAAGCTGGGGGCTTCGCCCCCAGACTCCTTTAACGGGCCTTCGGCCCTTTTGCTCGGCCTTCGGCCGGGTTTATCTTACAAATCATAACCATATCTTCGATAATATATAATAAATATATTTTTTAAATGCATCAATAATATGTTATTATAATTTAGTAGATTATTCTCAATGACTTTATAATAATACTATCCAGAATAATTTCAATAGTAATATAATATCCTTCCACAAACATCAAAACCAGAAAAATATAATTCATATAAAATCACTTTTAAGTCTTTTGAACGTATAATCTAAAAAAAAATTTTTGCTCTGGGAGGGGTCCAAACCCGAAAACCACCCCCGTAGCTACGCCACTGATTGTAATGGTTTATGATCAGTAACCAAGATAAAATGTCTTCCAAAAATATATTGATGAAACTTCTCGATAGCGAACATAATCGCCGAAGCCTCCCGATCAATTGTGGCATAATTCTTTTCAGCCGCCGAAAGTGTCCTCGATGCGTAAGCAATCGGTTTCTTCTGGCCAGTAAGAAATCGGTGTGCAATAACAGCTCCTAGACCATCTTCGGAAGCGTCACAAGAAATCACGATAGGGATATCGGCTGAATAAGGAATTATTGTATCTTCTTTTGACAATATATTTTTAACTTTAGTAAATATTTCATTTTCTTTAGCTGACCAAAACCAACCAACATTTTTACTCGTTAGTCGGTGTAAAGGCGCACAAATAGAATGCAATTTTTTAATAAATGCCTCATGATAATTCACTATTCCAAGAAATGAACGTAGTTCTTTAACATTGGAAGGTGTTTTAAAATTTTTTATAGAGCTAATCTTATCTTCTGTAGGGTGAATTCCGAAACTGTCAATAACATGACCTAAATAAGTGACTGACTTTTCTCCGATTTTAATTTTATCGGTCGTCGTGGTCAGTCCAGCCTTCACAAATCTTCTTAATACTTCTTCCAAATTAACTATGTGATCGGAATTATTCTCACCTGCAATAATTATGTCGTCTAAAAATACACTAACCATAGGAATTCCCTTTAATAGGTTTTTCATAAAGCGTTGGAATATTATCGGAGCGCTAGTCAAACCAAATGGAATTCTTTGGTATCGGTAATAACCGACATGTGTCGAAATTACTAAAAGGTCCCTACATTCTGGACTAACTCCGAATTGTAAAAATGCATCTCTTAAATCTATTGTTGAAAATATTTTACCACCCGCGATTTTATTTGTTAGTTCGACGAAAGTTGGTAGTAAATCGTTATCGATCGCTAGATATTTGTTGATTGTTAAACGAAAATCTCCGCATATCCGTACGGCACCGGATTTCTTTAAGATATTAACCGTTGGCGTAGCCCAAGTGATTGGAGTTATTGTTGGATCCACCTTCTCGATAACGCCTTCGTCTAAATGTCTGTCCAACTCAGCTTCAATGGTTCGACGCAACGGAAAAGGAACTCTTCTTGGTGGTAATGCAATCGGTAACGTGTTCGGTTCTATTCGGATGACTGCCTTTTGCAGTTTGATTTCACCTAATTTTTTTTTAAAAACTTGAGGGAATTTCGAAGCAATCGTATTTAAAGAGGGAACATTCATATTTATTTTATTAATACGAACTTCTTCTGGTAGTTTTATATCAAATTCTCTAATGAAAGGCATCCCAAAAATAAGGGAATTCTCCCCTTTAACTACCCAAATAAGTAAAAATTTCGAAATATTTTTTACTTTGACTTCTACGGTACATTTACCTAGTACTTCGATTTGGATATGATTATATCCCACTAATTTATAAGCCGGTGATAGTTGTGGTCTGCCAATACGATTCCAGGTGACCTCATCAATCACACTACACGCGGCGCCGGTATCAAACTCCATAGCTAGCTGCAACCCATTTATCTTCGCATCGATGGTAGCTTTATTTGAAATGACAGGCGAGGTGTCCGTGGCAGAATCATTTGTATGGCATGGGTTCTACAATCTTTCTCTATGTGGTTTGCCTTACCGCAACGAAAGCATATCACTTTCTTTTGAATAGAGTTAGGTTTGATACTAGGTCTATAATTATTATTAGGAATATAATTGTTACTAAAGTGTTTATTATTATTGAATCTATTGACGTTAGTATAATTATTATTTCTAAAATAATTATTTTTCGAACCCTGTGTTGGCTTATTTTTAATAATTTTATTAACTTCAGTCTGGGTTTCATTTTCCAACGAAGACAGCGCGATCGCTAAACGCACGGTCTCTTCAAAAGTAATATTGCCTTAGATATACTTTGACCGAAGTTCTTTGTCCAACTCAGGTAAGCCTACTTTTAGGATAAATATATCTCTTAAAAGTTCATCAAAAGGCGGTTTAAAATTACAAAGAGAACAGACAGTTTTAACCCTAATTGAAAAGTCAATAATCGTCTCATTACATCTTTTTAGCAAAAAATTTTCCTATTTACGAAAATGCTCGAACTATCCTTGAACACCAAATTTAAGCTTTTTATTAAAGTATCATAATTTATCATCTCTAAATTTATTGAAAAGTGAAAGTTCTTAATTTTGATAAGATTGTCTGTTCCGATATAGGCTAAAAGCAGGTCTTTTTTTTGTATTTAAATCTATAATATTTCTTACTTTATAAATTAACTCCAAGTTAAATAAGTAGTCCTGAATATTTACTTTTTCTTTGACGAATTCTGGAATATGGAATTTAATAGGAACTACTTCCATTGAGTCTTTAACTTTAATAGGGACTACTTCCATTGAATCTTCAACTTTAATAGGAGCTACTTCCATTGAGTCTTTTACTTTAAATTTAATAAATCAAATAAATCTTCTCTCAAAATATCGTCGCCAATGAAGTGTTTTATTAAATAAGTAAAATAGGTAAAGTAAGTAAAATTATATTTAATACAAAATATCACGTATATATATATATCATGAATTCAATCCTTTAGGTTATATAATTTACAAACGAAAAGTTAATATTATATTCAATTTAAATTCAATTTATATTACAGTTGGAAAGGCTTTTGTGGAAGTAATATTTGCGGATTTGCAAGTTCTGCATGATAATTAAAAGCCATTCATTTATTTGGGTTATAAATGTATCTAAGAGAGGGGGCATTTGTTTTATAATACTCTTCTACTGATCCTATATTATTGTTTTCACGATGAGCTTGCTTACTGTAAGTCGAGGGGGGCAAATATTAAACACGTATAGCTCTGCTTTTGACTCAACAATAACATATAAAATATGAAATTCTTCATCAACATTAGCTCTAATTTCCTTGAGTTTTAATAAAATGCTCTCCGCTATTCTCATCTTCTTAATCAAGTCAATGTCATGTTTTTGAAAAGGATTGCATAAAATAGTTGTATAATTAAATAATCCATTCTAATGAGGAAAAAAATTTGGAATAAGTATTATACCCAATAATTTTCTTGCTTCTGAGGAAATATTTCTTTCAAGTCATTATGATATTTCAGTAATAGCATTAATAATCGGCTCTTCTAACTCCATAAAAGCTGCTACTGCTTAATGGCGGAGACTCAATTTCGTTGGACAAGCTTGCAATTTCTTTCTTTTTGTTGAACAAGGAGTTTGAGAGATAATTATTATTTGATTAGAAATTTAGATAAATAATACGCCACTAAAATTTGAAAATAATAAGTAAATTACGCCAAGGAAAACTTGAAGTCAAAATTAATTTATAAAATAACTTAGTAGATGAATGTGAAAGTAATTAAATATACATAAGAGATAGAAATAAATATTAACAAATATAAATTAATATTAACAAATATAAATTAATATTAACAAATATAAATTAATATTAACAAATATAAATTAATATTAACAAATATAAATTAATATTAACAAATATAAATTAATATTAACAATCATATTTTTGAAAATCCGGCATCTGCATTTTTTGGCTTTGGAGGGGAGGGGGATTTGCCCCCCTGTCAAATCCCGCTGCGTACGCGCCTGATTATTTAACTTCTAGTGAAAATAAGATGTTCAATTTTAATATTCTAGTTCGATTAATATGAAAAATACACACCTTTTGTAACTTGGTTGATTTTTATTATTTATTATGTCAAGCTGTGATCCAGATAAATTTTTGCAATTTTCACATTTTATAGATGATATTAAGGTATTATTCACATAATTTTATACCTTATAAGTTTATCTATTAAGAAACAACATCTTAAGTCTATTTTATTGCGGAGATATATCATTAAAATGAAAAATGATGGATATAAGAGTTTTAAAACTTTAAAATTGATTATATATCCTTATTGTAGATTGTCACATTGAACCTAAATTAAAATTATTATATAAACGGGGTATTGATGAATGTATTGAAGAAATTAGGTAAGATATAGTTTTTAGTAACATAATTATCTTTATAAAGGTTAATTAAAAAGGCAATAGGACTTTACCATCACATTTTTAAGTTAAATAAAATTAACAATGGCAATCAAAATTCTAACCAAGCTAGGATAGCAGATTGCCAAAGTAGAAATATAATATATATTATTAATTTATGTGTAAATTTTTTAGGAAGATCATTCCCTATTTATAGAAATACTGTAAATAATAGGTTTATCCAATTTAAAAAGTTAATATCTAGAAACATTTTTAGTGTAAAAGATTATAGCAAACACTTTAAAAAGGTTTGCAATGTTTTAAGAAGAGGTGAACTAATGCAAATATTAGAAGTGGAAGCAGCTCAACTACCTATCTGGAATATCACAAATTCAAAGTATTTATTTATAAAGTTAAAATTATATTTTCAAGTACAATATTATTCTACTCTAATCAGACTTGTAAATCATTATAAATTCCTAATTTATTTAAAAATAAAAACTAGGATCTAGTGTTGTTAATATGTTTGGTCATAAATTTTACGACCCAATTTTGTGCTCAGGCCTGCTCTGAGCACATACCTGGGGTTTTGCCAGACCCAGACCTGTGGTACAGACCCAAAACAAAAACCCATTTATTATTTATTTTCCTGCTAAACATAAAAAAAGTTTTATAATTTTTTGGATTTGACATGTCTGCTATATAGTTATAATTACAATCAACAAAAACGGGACCCTAAGGAAGTGCGGTAAAAGTGGTAATTGGTCTCATTTATCACATCAGTCACCTTTCACAGATCCTACTCCTCGATTTTCTCTATTGCATTTAACATTAACATCCCCTTCGCATATCCCAGTTCTCACCACAATTAATGATTTATGTGCTAATGAGAACTCACCCTGTACTTCCATGAGTTACCAATACCCTCCTTCTCCGATGAATTTACCTAAATCTCATATTATCTCAAGAATCCCCTGTGGAGCCAGGCTTCTTGCAGCTAAATCATATAGTAAAACTATTAATAAACTTCTAACCAATTTTAACTCCCCACAGCACTGGAAAAAGTTCTTTTTATTTGGCTTCCATGCCTTTCAGATTCCAATTGACAAAAGCAAACTGTCCCTCACTCAACAAATTAAGAACAGGTTAAATGATCTAGACAACATTTTAATGGACATAACCTCCACACCTAAGTTATCCATAAATCCTTTTAAGATATAAGTAAATTTAGTGGGAAAAAAAATCGATAATTTAGATATAAAAGGGGCATCTGGATCTTCCTCAGACACACTGGCCCCCATTAATTTCCAAACTTCTTCCCAATTGACTATGAATTACCCCCCCCCCCCACACATCAGGCATCTACAACTGAACTCCCCCCCCCCACATCAGGCATCTACAACTGAATTACCTGGTGTAAATCCCACATCTTATCCAATATAATTTACCCCAGAGCAAGTTAAAAAAGCAATTTCAACCTTTCAAAAAGATTCTGCACATGGTTTTGAAGGCATAAGACCAATATACCTTCAAGACCTAACCATCCCTCTTCTAAATTCTCAAACTAACCTACTCAGCAGTATAACTCTCCCTTGTAACAAGATCTTACATGGTGACGTTCCTATCTTTGCCCAGCCAATTATGTTTGGAGCAAAACTAATAGCTCTTACAAAATCCAACAAAGACCTACGCCCAATTGCCATAGGCACCCTCTTTAGGAGATTAGTATCAAAATTAATTTAGACTCGAATCAATGAGAAAGTCCCAACAATTCTCACTTCAACTCAACTAGGGGTTGGTGTTAAAGACAGCTGTGAGTCTGCCTCTCATATAACCCGCATCTATCTTCAAAGTAATCCTCTAAATAAACACTTAATTAAAATTGACTTTAACAATACATACAACATAATAAAACGGTCTGTATGCCTAAAATCCTTATCAATGGTTTCCCATGCTACATTTTAAGCTGCTATGAATCCCTCCATCTTAAATAAGACATATAAAGAGTGAAAATGATTATAATTTATTTTTTATTTGCCTAGGCGATTTTTTTAAATTTTATATTTATATATTATTTCTTTTCTACCTCCCCTGCCCTGCCTTGATGAAAGAAAAAAATATTATTTACTTTTTCTTCCTTATTATTTTGTTTCATATTTATTTTAAAAAAATTGCAAAATTATTAAAAGAAAATAAATTTTTTATTTTGTATATTCCATTTTAGTAATTCAATTTTTATATATAATATAAATAAAATAATAAAATATTATCAATAAAAATATAAAATAATCAATCCCTTATTTTTTTTAAGTTATATTTTTTTTCTATTTTCTTCTTCCATTATTTGTTTTATAAAACTTTTAGATATTTCATATCGCGAATAGTCGCGAAATCCAAATTAAAATATTTTTCAATAACTATTAGTTAGTCGTCTTTTAGTCGATATCTCTACTAATATTGATAAATTGTGATGATAAAAATATTCTAGCCCCCAAAGACCTAGACTCGTCTACTTGTAATAATAATTTAGTTTACAATTAATATATAATAAAATTATCTTTTATTTGACACCATATCAATATTTTGAGTTGGTAGAAATATTCCTGACCCATCAAAACTTAGATCCGCCCACTTAGAATAACAATTATGATTACAAAATATATATAAATTAAGTTATATTTTACGCCCGTATCAATATTTTGCGTTGTTAAAAATATTCCTGACCCTTCAAACATTAGATTAGTCCATCGGTAGGAAACGCTTGCCCTCCTAATGAATAGATCTTTTGATTAGCTCTCGATTGATATATATATATATAAATATACTTTCCTAAGTTCAACAAAAAACAACTAAATTGGTTTTTGCTCCAGGTCTCCCCATCAGCGGGAGACTCCCGTAATTATTTAGTTTACACGCAGACATCATCTTCCTCCCACAAAACTCCCGCAATTGGGATTCTCCCGCATTTATTTTTTTAAGGATTATAACGTTTTTAATTTATAAATAATCATTTTGAGAAACACTATTTTATTATTTTTATATTTTTTAAATTTCTTTTCAAAAAACATGTCGAGTTTGTCAATTTCTTTCTTCCTAATATGTTTTATCCAATAATAACAACATCATTTGTGCATATCATAATTTTCATTATATTAATTAAAATACATAATAACATAATATCATACTTATTTCTAAGATAATTATATAGTTCACTTTGTGCGATTAATTATTATTATTAAAATATAACCAGTTATTTAAAACAGCGTTGAATATTTTAGAATTATAGAGAATCAATCATTAATTAATTCCTATTTCAAGTTCAACAAATATCAAGCCATATCGACTACTAGCATTCATGCTACATCAGAAAATCTTCTTGATATTATAAATTTCTATCATTATATTTTATGTACTTTTACTTAGCGAGGAATTAATGTTCAAATGTCGCTCTAATTAATGTCTTTAAATGAAGCAAATATTCTTACTAAAACAATTTCAGAGTATTTGATTTAATAACTATTATCAAATGTATAAATGTTATGACCTTGGAACATATTTAAATATATTAAAAATACCGATTGATATTGAAATTTTTGAGGAAATTGTTGCTCCTAATTTATTGGAGGATTCTCCAGAATACTCCAAAATAGATGGTATAAAAGCAGTGGAGAAATGGGTAGAATTTTTTCAATAACGATGGATCCCCATGCTCGGAAAAATTATGCGAGCATGTATTCTTCTTACCTCTCGTCCGGGGCGCATTTTTAGCTTGATGAGACTACCTTGAGAAAGGAGAACAACATTAGAGGCCGAGCTCATATTTAAACAAATTTATAAAGTCATGCCATCACTTTTATAAATATCTAAATAACGACGATAATCCAATATTCAAATCTCAAATAAAATATAATTAATATTAAAACTACAAACTATTAGAATTTTCCGTATTTTTTTTAATATTTTATAAAACCTTATTTATACATTGCCATTATTTTCTTTATATATAAATAAAATAACCAGGGATGTGAACCCTTCGACAAAAAAATAAAGTCCGGGTTCGGGTACAGGAATAAAATTTAAAAAGGACCCAGGTCCAGGGTTCGGGTTCAGAGAACATAAAAATAATGACTCAAAATAAGATTTTTTTCATTCATTTATTATTATAATTCAATATATACATATTGATAATTTACAAATATAATTTATATTTAAATGTTTATTCAATCGCCCAATAATAATATCTTCTAAAATATCATCCTTGAGATTTCCACGTAAATTAGACAATATATTTCAAAGATGAAAGTTCAAGTTCTACCATTACCTAAAATAGATAGTTATCTTTATAAAATTATTGTATTTGTGTTGCCGGTACAGCCATGGATTCTAGATAAGATATATAATTCTGGATATATTGAAGAATTTTCTTCTCAAAATTTTAAAATATTTGTATCCTTATTTATTCTCTTACTTCTGAAAACTTTTCATTAAAGATGCAATAAGCATTTTTTGATACTCCTTTATATCTGGTGATAATTTGTTTTTTTTTCTCTATCTAAAAGTAAAATTTCAAGATCATCAATGTTTCATAATTATTATTATCACTTCAACCAGTAGGTATTGTCTTAACCTCTAATATATTGTAAATAATGGAGTTTTGCGTATGCCATAAATCCGTAAGATGGTCTTTAGCCATTTTTTTTGCTCAATACTCAATAAAACTTGATATCGAGGGTCTAAATATATAGAAGCGTTTACAACATTATTTTGCAAATATTGTTGCTCTCGAATTTTCATGTTTTCTAATATTTCATATAAAAAGGACTGTAAAATTTTCTAAGTCTAATCGGCACTTAATCCATATGCCATAAAAATCAAATAAACATAATTGTTCTGATTGTAATCTTAATATTGTTATTTTTAAAGGAAATAATACACTAGTAAGGTCCTTTATTTGGCACCAATCATCTTCTGACAAAATGAATTCACATGCTCCTATAATAAAATCATTACAGAAAGCTTTCAAACTTAATAATCGTTCTAGCATCATACAAATTGAGGGCCAACATGTTGTGCATTATCATTTAAATTTAAATATTATTACTTGCACTACAAAATAATTCACTTTCAAAATAATCAACGTATTTCTATAACATAACATATTAATAAATTTACATAATAAAATATTATTACACTGGAAAATAATTTATGATATCAATCTCTAAATAAAATGTAAGTCCAGGAAGAAAATTGAAAGAAAAACGCGAATGGGTATTCAAAATAACCACAAAAAAAAGTTAATAAAATTTTAAAAAATTTATATTATTTTTAAAAAAAATATTTTATTTTTAAAATTTTTTATGACGCCTAGAACCCTTGGATCCTTTACTTTCAAAAATG